GCAGGAATGGAGCTATGGGTAGAAGTCTGAGGTTTTTGCATAGCTCTCTCAAATGCTGTTGCTACACTTTGGCCTCTCTCTACTTCCTAGAAATAGATTGAGAAAGCATTGAAGTTAACAGCTCTTATGCCTTGGAAAAGGTTGTAGCCATATTGGTCTTGGGACAAAAGGAATCAAAACTCCTGGAAGTGGTAATATCTTTTATTAGACCAACTAGATATTTGCAAACAAATTATTGCATTTATCTGCAAGCTTTTGGGCGCACACATCCTTCATTACACACAGGAGATAGCAAAGACTGTAAGAGTTCTCCTATGTAGAAATGAAAATACATATTTCACAAGAGAGCCGGAGGTGTGGTAAAGTCACCTTCATTTCTCCTGTGAAATATGAATTTTCATTTCTACCTAGGAGAATTTTAGGTGTCTAAATAAGCCACATTAGGTATTTCCATAGAAAATTTAAAATAATGATGCAAAATTTTGATGGAAAAAAAAAATCTCAAGTTGTTCATCTTCTGTGTCGCTCAAAACCTATATTCTGTCCAAGGAAGCATCATAGAAGCATTTCTTACTCCACTACTCTCTTCCATGCTCTCTAGCAGCAATGTGCAGGGGTATTTAAAAACACCTTATGTGGCTGGAACTGGAGAAAATTCAACTACAGACAAGACTCAGGACATCCACACAGTACTCTGCTCAACCTCAGCAAAGTGAAGGGCATAGGCAGAAGACTGCACAGCAGGGAACAGAGTTGCAGTGGGTATCCCATGTGTAATGTCGTTGTCTGCTGATGACAAAGGCTCCAGTAATTAAGGAAGCCAAATTTTTTGGACAGGAATAAGGTACAGACATTTCTGTAAGTTTGCATAATTGTTATTTGCAGCCAAAACCATACAAAGAAATCCTTATCCTCTCGCATAATTCCTGAACCATCATGGCTACAGCACAACTTTAACACTGCTATTCTTTTTTTCGCACTTAAATAATAATGAACAAGCTGCTAATTCTCAGTGCATGTGTATGGGGGGCAAGGAGGAGTGTGTGTAAAGGGAGGGAGGGATTAAATTACACTGAAGTAGCATATAGGCAACCCCTGCTTAGCGCTCTTAATTGGTTTCTGAAAAACCAAGCGTTAAGTGAAACTGGAAGTATCTGATGACCCAAGAGGGCAACCACAATTGTTTTTAATGACCTAAGACAGTGACTGTGAGCATTATAATTAAACTCATTGATACCCGATTTCACTTAGCGCTCAATTTAAAGCAAGCGTTATAGCAAAATAGTGCTAAGTGAAACGGCGTTAAGTGAGGGTTACCTGTATAGCTTAATGAGGCTAACACTGTCAGTCCTTCACAGCTAGGCGGAAAGGCTGCCCAATCAGCTTCTTAGCTCAATATTCATAGGATCATAGGAAAGTAAGGTTGGATGGGACCTCACAAGATCATCTAGTCCAGCTCAAGGAAGGATCATCCTGACTAACCCATCCTAACCAAATGACTGTGCAAGCTGCTCTTAAAAACTTCCAAGGATGGAGACTCTACAACTTCTCTAGGTAGCCCTTTCCAATGTTTGACCACCATCACAGGCAGAAAGTTCTTCAAAATCTCCAACCTAAATTGACCCAGATGAAACTTGAAGCCATTCCTTTTAGTCCCAGGTCCTATGGTCATGGAGAAATATCATCGCCGTAATCATCCTTCAGATATTTGAAAACTGTTATCAAATCCCTCTCCTTAATTTTCTTTTGGGAGAAGAAAAAATGACCTTACCTCAAGACAACGGGATTTACCTCAAAATGTTTTTCCCTTTCCTCCCACCCCCCCTGGGAGGGGGTGGGTGGGAAAGAAGTTACATTTATTATTTGTAACTTCCTATTATGTTGTGGTGATTTCTCTCTCACACCTTTTAACTTGCCTCATTTTCCTTCCAACCTCATAGAAAACCAGAAGGATTCTATATTCTGGATTTTGTTTCAACACTTCTAACTGTAGCATTGATTAAGCTTGTAGCAATGTAGTCCAGGAGCTTCTAAATGGAATAGCTTGCAGAACTGAAAATTAAAAACCTAAATTTGTATTTTTTTTAAAGTGGTTGAGTGATACTAACACTGCAATCTCTGTCTTTCCTGGCAAGTACACAGTTTTATACTATGAAACTAGCTGATTTTTCCATATCAGACATTATCAATAGGGTGCACATGTACAGTAGCAGACTATTAATGCTCTTTAGCTTTTTGTACTTGCTATATGGCAGCCCACAAAAGCATATTAGAACAGAAAAAAAATGGTCTCTAAGTGACTTAAGTGAGAGAGGGACCCTGTCCCCCACATGCACACAGAGTGTATACCCATAGTGAATGAACAACAGTAGTCATTAGATTTTACAAAAAAAAAAAAAGTCTGCTTACTGATGTAAGACACTCTGTTCTCCTGGTCTCAAAATCTTGGGTATTCATTTCCTGGTCAATACTACAGGGAATATTTACATATCTAAATGTGGTCTATGAGCTTTATATGACAGTGTATTGCTGAAGTTATAGCTTTTGATTAGCACGTTCATAGATTCATAGATGTTAGGGTCAGAAGGGACCTCAATAGATCATCGAGTCCGACCCCCTGCATAGGCAGGAAAAAGTGCCGGGGCTAGATGACCCCAGCTCGGTACTCATCTAACCTCCTCCCCAGGGTAGGGGACAGCACCACCTCCCTTGGGAGCCCATTCCAGACCTTGGCCACTTGAACTGTGAAGACGTTCTTCCTAATGTCTAGTCTAAATCTGCTCTCTGCTAGCTTGTGGCCATTATTTCTTGTAACCCCCGGGGGCACCTTGGTGAATAAATACTCACCAATTCCCTTCTGTGCCCCCGTGATGAACTTATAGGCAGCCACAAGGTTGCCTCCTTGTGTTCTCCTTGCCACTTTTTAAATTAATCTTAAAGAGACAGTGTTTTTTAAATACAAAAAGCACTGTCATTTTTTTTAGTTTTCTCCTTAATTCAGTAAGAGCTTTACTATTCCTGTTCTCTCATAGATGAATCACTTAAGAGTGTCAAAAGGTTAATTTAGACCACTCTAAGTATTCTTTAATGCTTAAATGCGATAGAAGCTTGACTATTTATATGTAACCATTGCATTTTACATGCATTTGTGAAACCATGGAGCACATACCTTGAATCTGTAGTTTCATCCTCCAATGTTTCTGATCCTCCATAAACTTTATTTCTTTCACACGTATCATTATCCCTTGATTCATCTTCTTCATCACTACTTAATACACAACTATCCGACTGCCGTTGGCTTCTTAGCCCTAGATTTCGCCTCGGTTGCTGATTCTCTAAAATTTAATTTTGGCACGTTAGATGTATTCATAGGACTCTACGGTATTTTTGCATTGGATTAACAGAAAATCTGAACTGTTACACATTACTTAAACACTTCTTTAAAGTTTACCAAAAGCAAGTTCAATTTTTTTTAGCTTAGTTACACAACTATTACATAAAAGCTCCCCAAAGGAATCTTATGTCTAATCTTTTAGTGGGGTCTACATGAGGGCATTCACTGCTAAAGCCATAAGAGTATACTATGTACCTATGATGGGGTAATTATCTCAGTAGGTTTCCCTTAGGTTGACAAGTCCTCAGAACTGGTAACCTGGCATGCAACCAAGACAGGAAAAATAACTTTATAAAGGCCTTGGCTAATATTTTCAGTGTTCTGTTGAAACTTCCAAAAATTATCCAAACTATACTACCTCCTAGACAGCACTTGTCAAGTAGCAGAGGTTTTTTTGTCTTAATTATTTTGATATAGACAGTGCTGGCAGTGATAATTATAGCTAAAATTACCCAGTGCTTTCTTTTTTGGTTACTTAAAACTGCAGGAAAAACTTTAGCTCTGAAAGCCAGAATTCTCCATTCTACATGTGTTTCAGGATGATTTCCTTTCTCCCCTCAGGAAGTTTCAGAAAAAGATTTCAGTTGCTTTTAAAAGCGAGTTAACGAAAAAAAAAACCACAGGATGAAAAAAAATCCTAAGTATTTTCTTCTCCAAAGCATAAAAGGCACAAGAGACTGATATTTAAGGCTGATCATTTCATGTAGCACCAGGGATGGATGTACCACATTGGTGAAAACCCACACAAATTTGGCCAATTCACAGCTCCCAAGGAAAGCTTTTACTTGGCATGCATAAGTTAAGTTAGAGTTTGGCAGCCAAGCTCTGAAGTTTCTGTCTGCACTGAACATACGCCATCACCACACTACTCCTACAAGCTGGCTGAACTGTATCTGAGCCATCCTCACACAATCCTGTTCAATTACCTCAGTGGCAAATGTTGTATTGTTAATCTAGAAGATTCGACCTTACTAATGACTGATATAGGTATTGTTATCGTACTATTGGATCAAATATACTTTTCCTTTTTATACTATGGAGGTTGCATACTTCTCTAAATGAGAAGATACTTTTCTTTTTAGTTTCATCTTGCAATGTTTGTCCAATATTTTACTATGTACACTTGAGACCTTGCTCTAACTATAAGTTTGGCAATTAATTCACCAGACTTTTCCCCAACAGACTTTACATTTAAGCTGTGATTAACAAGTTAACCAAGCCTTAAACAATAACCAGCCACACGTGAAAGCTGGTTGAGGGCATGATAATGCATTACATAAGACACAAAGTGATTCCATATAACATGAAATAACTTTGTGGCTCATTTGAAGGGATCCTGGTTTTCCATTTTCCATGGAAAAAATGGAGAAAACTACAGATTTTACCCTTTACCAGTGGATTTTGCAGTTTTACAAAGCTCTCTGCAGGGTGGCAGAGCTCCAGCCTGCAGGGACCTGGGCGGAAGTGGGATGAGGGCAGTCAGACAGGGGATGCCATGTACATGTATATACACATGGCCACCAGGCAGCCTGGAGAGAAGCTGCCATAGGTAAGGGGGGGTGGCCACAGGTGGAGTGGGATGGGGTCACAGGTGGCTCATCTGAGGGATGAGGAGGTGGGGGGAGGGGCCAGGTCCCTGCCATTGTGCGCACTCCCAGAGGGGCAGGGGGAATCTGTGCCCCCCAGATCTGTGCACAGGGCAGGGGTGGGTTGCCTGCTGTGGGATCCTCCCCTGGGCCCTCCATAGCCTACCAGCTGCGATCCCGCACTGCAGGGCAGAGCAGGGCCACACAGGGAAGCTTGTTACCACTGCACGCTCTGCGCTGCCCTGGAAAGGTGTCCCCTGCATGCACAGCAAAAGCAGGAGAGGTGGTGCGGGGCTGTGCCCCTCACTGCTGCCACATGCACAGGGGATGCCTCGCCAGGGCAGTGTGGAGCTTGCAGCGGCAAGCAGCTTCCCTGCGCAGCCCCACTGTGCTCTGCAGCACCGAGTTGCACCTGCTGGGCTGTGGAGGCCCTGGGGGAAGGCAGCAGGGCAGGAGCCCAAGTCCGTAGCAGGCAGCCTAAGACCACCCTTGCCCCACACACAGATCCAGGAGTGCATGCAGCGTCAAGGGGCCAGGCCCCATTCTCCCCATCCCAGGGGTGGTGGGGGGAGTTGGATTCTGCTCTGCTGCAGCAAGCTCTGGCAGCTGGAGACCCCTCCAGCAGGGCCAGAGGTGGCAGGGGCCTTTCATTTTAATCACAGATTTTGGGGGGTTTTATCTGAGAATTTGCAATTTTTTTATTTTTTTAATCTTTTTTTTTAAATCAGGGAAAACCAAGATCCCTGATCATTTGTATCATGACTTAAATTGAAGGTGTGGCCATGACCTGTCAAAGCCCTGTGTACTGCCCAGCTAGGAAACACATGGGGTTTTGACAGATCCTGGTGTATCGCGAACCCAGCATCAGGTTGTGGCAGCCAGATGCTGGGCTCCCCATGCATGGGGAGCAGTACAAGCCCCGTATGAAGCCTGTTGCCAGGCTCCTCATGCACCAAACTGTTTGCTGGGGCCAGGGACTGGTTTGGTTCCCAGCCAACCATAATCAGGCAATTGGTTTGATGTTGCTGGTGCAGGGGAGCAGTGCTTAGGTGTGGGGTCACCATGACTGAAAACCAACTGTGGTAAATTACAAGCCTTTGGCTTTGAACTAATATGATGCATAGTTTGTACTGCATATATGTAGGTGCCAAAGTGCTGCTCAAAAGGGTTTTTATGGAGTACGTATGCTAAAACTCGCAACAGTTAAAAAAAGGCAACATGCATCAATTCTGCATGACCTAAGTACATGGGTACTATAAGCAAATTACTACAGCCATGTTTAATGTGAAGGTTATTATTTTTAAATTTGTTCCTCACTTCCATGTGCTCAGGGGGAGCAGGGTCTGATAGCAAAAGGGGGAAGGGATTGCCAGGGGGGAGAAGTTGGGGGTGGAGCAGAAGGCAAGCTCTTCCCCTTTTATTTTCCCTGCTGTAGCAGTGGGAAGGGGACAAATACAAGGCAAATCCCTGATAATTAAATTCTATACCTGAAAAATTATAACAAATTTGTAATTTTTTCATATACAGAATCTAAATATCGGGGCATCTTCTACTTGAGTAAATAAGGTACTTACAAATGATAATCAGTTACTCTTACTCTAGTCAACATCATTATTAGCCCTACTTTATGTTCTGAGGCAGAGTAAACTCATGGTGAAAAGCACTGATTAATTTTAGGTGTCCAATTTGAGACTCCTAAAAGCCATACCCTGGAAAGTCAGATCCATCTATCCAGGTCAGAGGTTCCACTGATTTCAGCTGCAATTGAGTATTTACCACTTCTGCAACTCAATTCTTAACTGTCACAGGTTAGGCATTCAGAAAACAAGGAGCACTTTATTAACAGACACTTTGGGAAAGTTTGGTTTAAGTGACCTAGTCAAGCTCCAATCAGTTACCTGTGGGACAGACTGGGGTAAAACACAATTTGCTAGAAGAGCATTCAACTGCCTTAGTTCACATGATTGCCATCCTCCCTTGTAGTTCTTGGCCTCATTCACTTTATGTCTTTGAATCATTGTAACAAATGAGGCAGCAATCCAAGTGGTGTCTCATCCACTAACCCCAATTCACCCCTTCAGCACCATTATTTAGTGCCTTAAAGGAAGCAGAGGTCTTGTGAAAGATTCCATGACTATGTAATATTAGTTCATTCTGCCTCTTTGTACCAGAGAGAGCTATAATTCCAGCATTTTCTAACTTTTGAGTGCTTGATTATGAAATTCTAATTTTCTTTCAATAAGTATTTGTATGTAATCTTGGAAGAGCTGTGCTGCTCAATCAATAAGCAACAGAAAGCTATTAAATAGCACTCCATCACATGTTTATTAGGCATGGGATCATGAGGCTAAATCAGAAGAGCAGGAATAAACAGTTGAAATTTTGTAAATGAGCTTCTTGCATTTTCATGTTTATTCTTTGACAAATTAAATCCACTACCATCTTATCATAAGGGTGAAAAATTGCATCAAGGGACAACAGCCACATTAGGGTTATTTCAAGAGATGGCAGCTTACATGATACATATTCTGAAGCCTTATTGTGCTAAAACAGTGGTATAGACAGTGAGTTTTCTATGTCTCAGCAGACACATCTACATGAAACACTACTGTGCAGTCATTACTGCACATTTATTTAGGACTTGTATTAGCAATAGCCTAATAATATTGCACAGTAGTGTGTTAGTACGGTCTGTGCCGCGACACGCTACTGCGCGATATTTTTTTGGCTACTGCGCAGTAAGCATCTTGTGTAGATGAGCTCAGTGTGCAGAACAATAATCAAATAGTAAATTTTATTTCAGTTTACTGATGGCCTTAGTTTAACAGTGGGTGCATCTACACATGCAATTAATGCGCCTGAATAAACTCCAAGACAGTTCACGATGGAGTTTATTGCTCCTTGGTGCAGTGTTTACACGTGTGCCCAGGACTGCATGTTGAGTCATGGCACAGTAGCCCCAGCTGGCAGGTAGCCCTGGGGAGTCAGCCTGCTAGCTCAAAATGCTGTAGAGAGGCTGGCTGTGCACATGGGTTCCACAGTGCAGGGCTAACCAGCAAGCAGCCCCCACACTATAGCACCCTTTTGCCCCAGCCAGCCCTGGTCACGGTCTATGTGTGCATTACAGCACACTAAATAAGTCTGCTACAGGATAGCACTTGTGTTGGGCAGTACTACAGTGGTGTTAATTAGTTTACTGCGGCCAAATAGCACTCCACGTGTAGACAGTGACACTTTACTGCAGAGCTAATTAGGCAACTGCAGTAAAGGGCACATGTAGACACACAGCATTAACTGATCTAGGTTATTAATTTTTACTACAGGGTTTCTCAAATGTTTATCTTCAGACAAATACATGAAACAATTTTGAAGAAATTAGTGGAAGGCACATCCTTGTTGACTAGGTTTGCAATACTATATAATGCATTACAAAAAAAGATTACAATTCTGTTATCAGTTAGCAAAATTATATGAACACTCACCTTCAACAATCTTGTAGAAATGTGAGGGAGGGAGAGAAAAGAAAAACTGAATTAATTTTTTTTGTGAGCATACATGTCATGGACAAACAATTAAAACCTCAGTTATATTCATTTATACTTTCTTGTAGCAATACAAGCTGAGGAGGCCCAAGGGTTGCCCTGAGCAACACTTAATGACTACTGCTGGAAGCGTTTCACCAGCTCTGGAAGCCAAACTGCCAAATATGCATCCTCATGCTAGATATTGTGAAATCATTTTGATTTTAATAGTCATTTGTAAGAGACATAAAACATGTAGTTAGTTTTAAAGCACCATCCATTGTCTAGTTTCTAAGCTTTTTGTAGTTGTGACCCACTTATAGGTCTATAATTCTGTGCAACCCCATGCAGTGGTACCTGTTGTTTCTATTCCTACAATAAAGGCAGGGACTTAATTGCACTCTGGCTGCTCTGAAGTAACTACCCGTTCTCCATTGTTATTCTGTAGTGAAAGCTAAATCAGGGCAGCTTACTCCCAAATGAAACAGGGCTCGGTTGCCTCAGTTTACATTTAACTTAGAGTAACTGTGGGCACATGGGGCAACTGGATGTGACGGGGGCATGTTCAGGGCCAGGTCTCAACCTTGATCTGCCCACCTGTCTATATGGGGGAGACCACACAGTCTTTCCTGCCATGACTTTGCTAGCATAATCAACTGGTGGTAAATGCGGGAGGCTGCCCATTATATGCCCCGATGCCAGGGGTTGCTATCCACAGCTC